CCATGGCACTCTTTTCTTGCCACAGCAAGTCAGGAAAACAGCCCCTCAGCACATACAGAATGAGAATCTGAGGAAAAGAATGCAGCCAAAATGTCAGCAGCCCTGGAATTTCGACAGACCTGAGTTCCAAGTTAGGTGTCTGAGACAGGTGTGCCTTGCAAGGCTAGGCACATGGCAGGTTCTCAGCAAACATCTTCAGACCAAGTAGACAGCTGTCTGGGAATCATGAAGGCTTAATCATGTTAATAGGCATTCAAGACATGCTTCCTGCATGCCAAGGTGCCAAGTGCTGGAAGACAAAGGTGTGAGGCATTGCCTCAGCTCTCAGAGAACCATAATCAGGACAGAAGAGTAACCAAGACCTTGAAGGTATAAGCATTACGACTGGAAAGCACAGGGCGTCAGAGCCCTCTCTACCTACAAAGAAACAGGACTCAGAGAGGCTTCCTATCGTCTGTGTCTGCCTCAGCTGGTCCTTGAAGGGTGGGGAAGCCTTAGCCCCAGGCAGTGACACAGAAAGCATGAGGAAAGGACAAAGCCACCAAGCACAGAGATCCTTCTGAATCTAGGTACTGTTTGGAATGAGGGCATAGGCCAGTGAGTATCTTTATGGTTCAGATCAAAAGACAGTCTATGGGTGGAGAGATGACTCAGTTGGAAAAGCGCTTGTTATTAAGGCATGAGGATGTCGGCGTTCAATCCCCCAGAATCCACATAAAAGGCTGGATGTGGCAGGTACATACCTATAATACCAACACTGCGGAGGTAGAGACAGGAGGATCAATGGGGTTCACTGGCCAGTTTAGCTGAATTGGCAAGCCCCAGGATCCTGTGAGAGAGACTATCTCAAAAGATAAGGCTGAGAGCAATTGAGTGAGACATCAAATGTCGACCTCTGGCCTCCACACACAGGAACTCAAATACACATATATATACACTCGCAAAGGGAAAAAACAAAGACATAGTCCAGTTCACAGGCTCCAAGAAGCCTAAAAGCCTAGAAATTACTGAGCTTCTGACAAAGGACAGTGTTCCCATGTGCTGTTCTGGGGGTAAGGCTTAAGGAGCCCAGGAAGTAGGAAAAATGCTCCAGGACAGGAGTATGTCCCTTAACTCAATTCTTCTAAGGGTCCACAAGCTTCCAAGACAGGGATGCTGGAAGGGCCTTGCTGGGAAGGATGGAAGGTAACTAGAAAACAGGAACAAAGTGATTCAAGGCGAGAGGCTGATGGGATGAGGGAAGAGTAGCTTTGGGTGATACCCAGACAATGAGTTACACTTAGAACAGTAAACCAGTTTTTATTCAGAATAAAATTACCTATCAGTAAACAACCAGTCTCAGAGTGTGTAACAAGCTAGGAGCCGAGTCACACATGTGTAATCCCAGCACTCAGGAGGCCAACTCAGGAGGTTCATGAGTTTGAGGTCAGCCTAGGCTACACAGTGAGAGCTTGCTTCAAAATATCAAAACCAAATTTGGAGACAGAGTTCAGTGGTTAGAATACTTGCCTAGCACTAGGCAGAAGGTCCTAGGATCATTTCCCAGTACCACAAAACAAGTAGATGAAAAATCAGTCAGGACAGCTTCAGAAACAGTTTGGTGGTCTGTCACTTACAAAGGAAAACATGCCAGGCTGGAGGGAACAGTGCAGCTTACACAGTCCACAGACAAGTGCTCTGAGGCTGTGGGCAGCCAAGGGCTCCTGTGGCAGTATCAGTTTTCTCTTATCCATGTGGAGACCACATGTTTGGCCTTACTCGGTTCTTACCTAAGTCCTGCCTATCTCTAAGGCTGACCAAACAGAAACTGGAGGCCTGGAAGGAAGGCAAGACAAGCTCCAAGTTCTAACTGTGAGAATACACTGAGAGCTCCAACCCGTGATTTGGAGTGGGATCTTCCGAGATAAGTAGCACCCAATCTAGAGGTTCCCCAAAAGACAGACAGGAAAAGTCCTGGAAGGCAGTGGGACCAGGGGAGGTTGTATCTTCAGCACTCGGCATCTCTCTTTTACTCAATAGAAAATCTGGGCTGACAGAAATACAAAGCCCATCACCTTACTCTACTCCACCTACAAAGCAAGAGGCTATTCCAGCCTTCTCCCTTATTTTGTGTCCCAAGGATATAGTATCAGGAGTCTGTATGTATAGCTCAACTCACTCCCCAGCTTAAATGCCACGCAGGAACGATCCCCACTCTTGAGCCCATGTACACTCTTTGGCTCCAGACCAGGAGACACTTACCCACTGTCTGAATGGCACCTTTCCAAACTCAAAGCCTTATTCTTCCCCAGGCCTGTCTCTTTCTGTATTCTATGCATTGTGGCCGTGGGCTACCAGTCACCCAATATCCTCCTTCCGCCCTGGCTCTTGCCATTCTGTTTTATGATTGTCTCAAGGTACATCAACTGTCCCCACATGCAGCACAGCAGCCCATGTGGTTTTAGAACACACTCATCTGATCAAGTCCCCCACAAGCCACACACTTCCAGAAGCTTCCAAATCTCACTCAACACTGTGTCCACAGCTCACACAGCACCTTCTCATATAAATTCATTTCCTTCGACTTTTTCCCTTTAGTACTGGGGATTGTGCCTAGGGCCTTGTGCACGCTAGATAAGAACTTGATTACTGAGCTGTGTTCCCCAGCCCTTTCTGTAGCTGTTTTGAAACAAGAGTCGTGCTCTGCCTAAAATTTGGTCCTTCTGCCCCTGACTCCCTACTGGGGTTATAACTTGGTGCCACCACACCCAGCTCATTTTTCCTTCCCCCTCAGGTGCTGGGCCTTGCATACACTAGGTAAGCACTGTTGAAGTATGAATTCAATAAACACATATTGAAAGGACAGTGAAAATTCCCAGATAATGAAATTCAGGCTTGTTCTCAGAAAAAGGCCTGAGGGCTTTTTGTTTGTTTGTTTTTTTAAATGTCTCCATTTAGAAGGTGATGGCTGCAAACTGCCACTGAAACAGCTGTTTGTAAAGGCTTTCTTTCTTCTATTTAGAGTTGTCAAAACAGAAAAGGTATGCTCAAACAGGTAGAACATTGAACAGGGCAAATGTTAACTGTTTTTTACAACCCACTTCATTGTCCTGTGTACTTTAAACTAGAAACCATGCAAAGGCAAATACTTTACTGTGTCTTCTGAGGTTGGCTCAGTCGCTAATAAGGATTAGGAGCAATGCTGTGTGCCCAAGGTCACTGAGACTTGCTGGACAGTCCTGGCAGGTGTGGTTAGTCAGAGCTAGTAAGGTACACATGCAGGTGAACTTGCAGTCCCAGGGAGGTGAATTTGATTGTTGTTATGAAAACCCTGCCTAGATTACTAGATTACTTCTGCAACCCAAAAGGTCACCCTTAATCCAGTTGAAAGCCACTACATTGCTAGTTCACTAGTTGACATCTATCACTTAGAAAATGGCATCTTTATTCCCTCTAACAACCACTTAAGAGAGTGGCTGGCCCACTGAATGCCAGGTCATGGGGGAGTCATGAGTGTAGCCAGTGGCTCCAGGCCAACCACACAAAGACCAGGTTCTAAATACAGCTGTCATTACCGAGTATGTCCCATAAAGTCTTTATCTGAGTGCTGAGGAGATTAGGTGAGGGTTAATCCTCAGAATAAAGGAAGCAAACAAAGGGGTCTTACCACTCAATATGAATGGTCACTATCAAATATTTGAAATGTTTGATCATTTGTCATCTGGGTAGGTCTTGACACCAACCTAGACTACACAGAATGGACACCAGCTGGAACGAGAGCTTGAAAGAGTATGAGCACACTTATCTCCACAACTCAGTGAACATTCACAGGTGCCTATTGAGAGGAGGGTGATAAAAAAAATGAGAATGGAGTCCTTGACCCCAAGCGGATGAAATGGTAACATGTGCCAAATTATGGGACACTTGTACAAACTGCCTGGAAGTCACCTGCTGGTCTTCCAGCAGAACACGATGAAATGAGGAAAATCATTTTGAGCCTTTACCACTTTGGAAAGATGGTAACACCACTGCCATGAGCCAATTATACCTGTATACGGCCCAGTTGGTTTAGACAACCTTTGAGCCTTAACCCAAGAAGACCAGAGCACAACTGCTTCTGAATTGAGCCAGGTTTGTCAAGGGAAAACTGTGGCCAGGCTGCCAGCATCCCTGATAGACTGACTTCTGTTACATGAAGCCCACCCCCATATGGTGCCAGCTCTGCCCTCGAGCTATGTTATTCAAGGCTCCAGAAGCACAGGTCCAAGCGAAGGCACAGGTGACACAGGCGACACAGACAAGTCAGGGACACTAGCTGGATAGGGCTCTCGGGCTGGGAAAGTACCTAAGCGTCAGGTGGGCAGCTGTGTCATCTTTGGCCAGTGAAGGGCCCGAACTATTGCAGGTCTTCGAGGGCAAAGGTATATAAACACTGCTGCAATTTCGAACAAACACAGAAAGAGGATTTCCTATTCCACAGGGACGGAAAGTGTCCTAAGGGAAGGTTGACACAGGGGCCGTTCTTTCCCACGACACAAAACCAAGCGGAGGCAGCGACGACCGAAGAAGGCCCGGCCTGCCCACAGGGATCTGACACCCGGGCCCACGTCACGCACCAGGCTCCGGAGCACCAGCCTCCGTAGCCCCCAACCCGCTGCGACCAAGACACTAAGCACCGCCCGTGTCTCCTCTCTCAGTTCGTCCGTGCCGCCGATCAGCGCAAGATGACTGCGATACCCTCACACCCCGCGTCCAGCCGCCACGCCCCCGCCGCGCACCCACCTCGGCGCCCCGCACCGCACCGCTCCCTTCAGCTCTCCGCTGGACCGCGCGAGCCTTTCTGCGCACGCGCGTAGGCGGCCCCGCCCCACAAGCACGCGCTTGCGGGCTGCCCACCCCGAGCGCCCCGCGTCTCGGCGCGGATGGCTCTGGGCATGCGCGCTTGCGCCCAGGCGGCGGCCAAGTCCGGAGCATGCGCTAGCCAAACAGTGGTTCCCGCGCTCAGGGGCAGGGGCTCGTCAAAAGAGGTGGGGACTCTAGCAGCTGGGGTTAGGCCAAGTCTTGGGCATCTGGAACCCCGATGGCTGCCCGTGGAAGTCGCCGTCTGACCCGGTTACATGTGGACCCAAACTACCCGTTCGTGATGTCCAGTCTTGAACATAGTGTAGGGCTCCTAGCTAGGGGCGGGACTTGTGCCAAGAAGCTTGGCGGCCAAGACTATTAGGAGATGCTTCAGGGAGTGACAACTGGACGGATCCAGAGATGGGGACAACAGGACAAGAAAGAGGTGGGAAACAGGCAGAGATGCAGCTGCGCATGGGGACACAAATACGCAACCGGCAGAGGCAGGCCAGAATGGACACGGGGACAAGATCCACGGTGTTGGACAGAGGCAGCCATCCTTACACCGGAGGAGCCCGCAGTATTTGCAGATCCCGGTTGGAGGCGGAGAAGTCACTGTCCTGGCTGTGCAGTTGGACCACGACCCCCACAGCGGTGTACAGGCGTCTATGGTGGCAACAGTGGCTTTGGGGAGTTCTGAGGACTCTAGTGTATCACAACATCGGAGAGCTGATGAATCACAGTGACCCGTGGGATGTGCTCAAACCCCAGAAGGATCCTAGCATCCCCTGGGAGTGGGGTGGTTTTCAACCTTTAAGATATATCAGGAGACCCCTTGTAGTAGGCAGCCAGGGTGATGAGATCAGGGTCCTCTGAGGGTGACTGTCCTAGGAGTCTCCAGGTAGCTCTTAGGGGCCTTCACACTCCTCCCTGTTGGAGGTGGGGTGTCGCCAAAGAAGTTAAAAGCGGGCATGGGGAGAAAGGGGGAAGTTAGATGGCGACGCACGTGACACTTCCAGCAGGCTAATGCACTGATGAACACGCCCAGTGATAAGAGCGGTGCCCGCCCAGCCCACGCCCGGCTCGCAGGTTCAAGCGGTCCCGCACCGCCCCCGCCGCTCGCGCCTCTGCAACCTCCGCAGGCGCCGAGTCCAGGCATCCCTCCAAGGCAGCACGAGGCTTCCACGGGCAGCGCTAAGTCCGGGTCCCCGGCCCGCTGTGCTTCCAGCTGCAGCCCCGGGCCCGCCCCCCAGCAGCAAGTAACGCCGGCCGGGTAGGAGGCGCGGGCAACCGCAGGCGGCGTCTAGGGTTGGTACCCACAGCGCGTTGCTCCCGCGCCGAGCGCGCTCCTCGCCGCTGCGGAACACAGCAAGCACTGCTACCGGAAAGCGTGTCCACGCGCCGCGGGCCTCGCCGCGCGCACCCACTGACACCTGCACGGCTGGGGAGGAGAGTGTGAGAAAGCGATCGGGTCAGGCGGGGCAGGGCCGGAAGGGACTGTGTGGAGAAGCACAGAGTGCCCACCCGACTAAGGAAGGACATAAAGAGGCCACCCACTAGAGGGAGGTACATTGAAGACATAGCTGCTGAGTGGGCGGAGCCAGCATCAGTGGGAGACCCGAGGAGAGGATAAGGCTTGAATTTCAGCCAAGGGTCAAGGTTTTCAAAGGAGTTGGGGGCGAGATGGAAGGGCTGGGGTGAGGCAGCCTACCATAGTCCTTCTTGCAGAACTTCTTCAGGCTGATTCGGTAACTGCCACGCGCAGGTCTACAATGCGACTCACAGTCTAGGGGGAAAGAGTGGAGGCTAGCTGAGTCCCACTCCCCCACACTGGTCTACTTCAGCTACAGCCCCCTTCTCCAAGGTCATACCAGTCTGGGAGGCCGGTGTCCACTCACCCTGTGGCTCCACAGGACTGCTTTCTTCAGTGGGTCCAGGGACAGGAGTCTCTAAAGAGTGTGGGAGAATAGTCTATGATGGGGTGGCAGGGGTATCTGAAGGTCTCGGGGGACAGACAGACAACAGTAGCTAATTAATGTCTTTGGCTGAAGTGATTGAGACAGGGCAGGGTCACTCACTAACACAGGGCGCCACAGGAGAACGGCTCTGCTGGAAGCCTGGGGCACATCGGTTACAGGTGAGGCCAGTAACACCATCCTTACAGGGACACTGGCCTGTGGTTTGGTTACAGGTTTTGCCAGCAGCACCAACTGGATGGCAATCACAAGCTGAGGACAGAAACAAGGGGCTCGTTCAGAAGTGCATCAGGGTTCTGGGGAAGTAGAGCATGAAGGCATGCAGGTGGTAGGCTCACCTCTGCAAGCACGGCGGTCACTCAGGACACGGCCTGGGTCACGATAGAAGCCCTCCCGGCAGTAGTGGCAGTGTCGACCAGCAGTATTGTGCCGGCAATTGAGGCACACACCCCCACTGCGGCGGCCGGACAGTCGGTACAGCTCCATGTTGAAGCGGCATCTTCGGGCATGGCCGTTGCAGGAGCAAGCTGCAGGGAGGCATCAGTCAGGAGCAGCCCTGCCTGGTCAGAAGTCCCCAGGCTACCCTCCAAGGCCTCACCAAGGCAAGCGTGGGCTTCCTGCCCTGTAGCCCGCTGCCATGGCCTGTCGCAGTAGAAGGGCTTGCAGCGGCTACAATCAGGGCCCTCTGTACCATGCTGGCAGTCGCAGATCAGATGGCCATGGCTGTCCAACAGACACCTTGAGGCATGCCCATTGCACTTGCATCGACCTCCCACCTGGAGCTCAGTGGCTGAGTAGGAGTAAGGGACTGTGACCTCCCGGTCCCTGGTGTCCCCCAGTATGGCAGGCCTTGTGAGTAATATGCGAATATCTGTGGCAGTCACCCAATCTTGGAGCACGGGACTGTTGTCCAGATCCAGGCCCTGTGGGCTGCCATCCTGCACACTGAAGGCCAGAAGGCCTCCACCATCAGGCTGGACCTGGGGGGCTGGGAAGCAGAGGGCTTCTGGCCCTGGACCAGCAGGGCCATCAGCAGGAGCAGGCGGACGGCCGTAGTCCAGGCTACAGCTGGAGGAGAAGAAGCCCAGGGGGACCCAGCTGCGGCCATGGTCCTGCGACTTAAGCAGGGCCACGGAGGTTGGGGGAGCTGAGCAGAAGCGCAGGCTCACGAAGACCAGCTCAAAAGCCTTCCCCAGGGCCACCGTGAGGGTTACGTTGTAGGGTGCCCGTTGCAGCAAATCGGAGCGCCAACAGAGAGGACTTGCAGTGCCCGGAGCAGAGGTCAGGAGATCTGCAGTGTGTGCCCGCTGCGGGTCCGAAGAATCGCAGGCGCGATTGGCCGGCCTCCCGCACGTGCTGGACGCCAGCACCTCTCTGCCCAGAGCAGCATTCACTAGGCCCGGAATACAACAGCGGGGCTCACCCGCCTCATCATAGCAGGGGTCGGCGGTGGCCGGCAGCCCTGGGCTCAGTGCAGCGGTGAGCGTGCCCGCGGTCAGCAGCAGCCCCCAGGGCCAAGTGGGCATGGCCGTGGCCGCTGTGGGTCAACCGGCCAGCTTCCGCCCAACGATTGTGCCCTCGAGGAGAGAGCCTAGTCCGGGACTCTGCCTGCCGGGTCTGCAGTGCCAAAGTAGTAGAGCCCCTGGGCGGCCCCAGCACAGGCCCAGGAGTGGGAGCAGCCACG